CCTCATCAGTATTCCACACTGGGAATGTGCTTAAGAATTTGAATGCTGTTGCCTTAAACCCTGTCTCACAGGTGAGCTATTACAGCAGGTTTCAGGTGCCATTAGCAGCGACATTGCAGGCAAAAGCAGAGGATCGTAAGCTAAAATACCAGTGTGTTTTCGACATATCCCTCCCTTCACTTATCATGCTTGTCAAGAAGTGTTTTTGTGAGCTACGTTTTTTTGCAGTTTGTCCTTAACCCAAGAAAAAATGCATAATACGAATTTGACTGTTTTAGGTTTTCGACATAATCAACTCCAACCATAAATCTGTGGGTGGCACACACTTCAGTGAATGTCAGCCTCTGTCGCAATCAGCACATGAGGAGGTTGATTGTTTCCATTCATGTTGATGGGACCGCTTTTTTTCTTCTTTTTTTTCTGTTAAACGCCTGTCAATCATGGCCCTTATGATGAAAAATATCTAAACATTGTGCTTTTTTATCGATCACAAAATTAATGTTAGGAAATAACGCTGTAGAAAAAAAGTTTGAATTAGAAACCTGTCAAAGTGCTGTATTCACAGTGGATAATTTTAAGTGTAAGAATGCCAGCACCAGACATGAGGCAGTTACAAAAAAGAACTGTCCTTGCATCAATCTTTCAGCCCTTGTTAGCCGCTATTTTTCCTCCTGCAGAAATCATTGCTTTTTGCTGCCATATATTTTCAACAAATTGGAACGAAACAGAATCACATTTTTTCCTTTTCTTTGCTGCATCCCGGCTGCTGATTGACGGAATCAGAGATGACCTTTAGAAAAAAAGTAAAATGATTGGTTCAGCATAAGGTGAGATTGGAAACAAATCCAGGCACAAAATGCGGAATTTTTTGCCGCAAACTTGCTCTTACATCTTTGATCGACAACTGCAATAATTAGACATGATTGAGTTTAGAATAGTGTGTCCATAAACACAAGGAAAATGTTAAAAATATTTTCTTTTCCTGTCATTCCCATTCAAATCAGAGCACCAAACGAACAAAAAGTTATATGCATATGAAAAACATGAAAAAGGATGCAGTCAATTTTTTTGACCTGCATAAGACAGCACTGATTCTACACCAGCATTTTCTATCAATTTAAGATACTTTCTGTAAAAGTAATCCACACCTAAAAACATGTTTTAAATTGTATTTCTTGACGCATTCATTATGAATACAATTCTATTTCTTACATATTTATATTCTCAGTCTGTTAAATCAATTATGGAGCTCTCATCAGTGAGCAGCCTGCAGGTATGTGGTAGATCTGTGAAGATAATCAGCAGTGATTAGGCAAAATGCGGACGGAGTGAATAAAATGAAGGAACATTTATGAATACTGATGTGTTTTGAAATGAGAAATATACCACCAAATACTTGTACTGAATTTAAGACCTTACTTCAAATATCATTTTTATAATTTCTTTATCAGTGAACCATATACCTGAACTTGCTCTGTGCCCTGACATTAAAGGACCTTACCTTTATCCGAGTGCCTCTGGGCTTATTTCACCAGGCTTTGTTTATTCCTCACATTACGGTTATACTGTACATATAGAGCTTGCATCAAACTCAGGCGGCATTATTTAGTGGCCCCTGGAATTATTTACAATCATTATTATTAACTTGTACGGCAGTGATGATTTTAGAAAAAAAATACCATAGCATTTCATTCATTGTTAAAATTGAAGCCAACACATAATCATCAATTAAAAATCTGGCCATAAGTGGCGCTGCAACCTTTCCCACTCTACCTGACTCAGGTTGCCAGATATGCAGACAAATTCAGATGGGACCAAAATAGCTAAACAAGTTTTTTCAATAACAAATCTATTTGAGAATCATAACGAGACATTTTTTAGTGCAGCCTGACAAAATACATTAGCTCGACGCGGTGAGTTCTGGCAACCCGGATCACAGACTTTCTGATTGGTAAAACAGTGGAGGGCGGGACATCGAAATAAACACAATAACAAGATTTAGGGGCTGTAAAACTAAACTAATGAATTGGTTTGTTAAAATAGCTTTGTTTTGTTGATATTCAGTGCTCCATGTGTTTGCTTTTGTTGGTTCTCCGAGTTACCCGTGTCTGGCTGGTCGAGCTGTCTTGGGTTTTGTTTGGTAGAAGAGATGGCCGTCCTCCAATCCTGCGCAGACTCCCGGAGGCGTGCCACAGTTAAATGTTTTGACTTCCATGACACTTCTACCACAAACCTCATTCATGTGTTTTATTAAATTATGTTTTCTTTCGATAATTTGGTCCCTTTTTGTTTTTCATACACTATATGCACATTTGACTGTATATATTTGATCCTATTTATATATATTTTTTTACTATTCTGTCATTTGACTAAATTACAATTTTAGTTAACCTTTTCACGTTTCCCTTTTTTGTTACACCCTCGCAGACCTGGGTTTTAACAAGCTTCATAATGTAAAAGATATTTGCCATAAAAGAAAACCACTTTTATACATTTCAGCTAAATACCAGCTCATATCATTTTACCCACAAAAGAAAAAGTTTGAAACCCCTGACAAATATGGCTAATCTTTGCAACTTTTCTGAATTTTTTTTTGTTTCCTAATTCCACTGTGTCAAGATATTCTGCTTTCGACTGCAGGACCAAAACAAATTCATCTCAAAAAGCATTGCAGTGGGGCTTACAATGACACGCTCCTAAAATATGATGACAATAGTTGAAAGAATGAGACCTGTTTGAATGGCGTGAATAATCGCCATGTTTGGATTGTGATAAGGAGGTGTGCAGAATGGCGTTAGTCACGTCACTTTTCTTTGCTTCATTTTGTTCCCAGCTCGATTTTGTCAGTGCTATTAGTTCAGCTGTCGGCAGTAAAGCAGCGTTTCTGGCTCTGTACAATTCAATGCAAGGTTTTGTACAAACATATCAGGGGGAAATATTTCCACTCCGCAGCCTGTCTGACACCTGCCGTGATTTGCTTTTTCATGAGTTCTTGTGAGCGTTCAATGTTGTTGTACAATAACAAGACCTTCAATACACAAAAGATAAGATACTGCAAAGACATTCTCTGTAGGAATCCAAGCATTGTTGTTGGTAATTCTCACAGCAGGAACTCTTAGCAGAGATCATTCTCATTGAAGAAGGCTTTAAATACATGGCTTGAAACAGGAGCACTGACTTCCTGTTCAACGCTGCAGAGAGGATTCTGCTTCTGCAATTACATCATCAATGTGTAGTTTTTATATTTGTTCAAAGGACAATGTGCATTAAAAATATGGCTCTACAAGTATTATTGCTAAGTTTCAGTCACTAGATTACATGCGGAAATGAAAACATTGTTAAGTTAATTGTTTCTCCAATTTATTTCAAAGTGCGAATCTAATACATGCCAAGCCTTTATAATTTTTTCTATTGTTATGGCTCACGGTTCATTTTCAAAATAAGCGTTTTATTGGGGTTTTTTACTAGCTGCTATGATTCTCAACATTATAAGTCATGTATTTCACTTTGCGTGCAATGAGTCTGTCTTTAGTCTCACATTGTAAGTTGAATTACAGAAGTAAATGGACTTTTACAGCTTGGAAATAATTTCTGCTAATGCTTTTGAACAGATGTTTGTGGCTATAACTCGGTTGTCCTTGTGCACTTTGACCAATGCAATATTGTAATTTAGCAACATATCAATTGTGTTTATTGGGAAATTGGCCTGATAGAGCCCAGCATCGATCAGTCGCAACTGTGTGAACCAAAGTACTACTGACAATTTTCAAAAGATCCACATTCCTGTAAAACATCATGTCCAAAGTTAAATCAAATTGTGGAGTTTGTGTGTTGGGTGTTTTCCACTGACTTTATAAATAACGAGATAATCAATAGATTTTGTTATAGGTTTTGAAGCAGTTGTAAAAGCAGTGCTGACATATGGCTGAGTGGTCGAAGCGGTCAGTGAAGGGTTTATGAACTATGCAGTCTTAAACACAAAGCCTTTTACAGCAGGACGCCTGTAAACAAGGCTGAAATCCATGGACCAGGAGAAACAGGCTAAATAAGGGAGTTATGTAATTGGCATCTGGCATGTTGTTTTATTTACAAAAAAGACAAGAGCTTTTCTTCAAAACACAATTTATTACTCATTGCAAAAACACAGAGATGTACATTTATCTTACAACATGACTAACGATGACCAACAGCAACATAGCAACGCCAATAGTTAAACCATTGCAACAGTAAAGAAATGAAGCATGTTCTTAGTCTTTAATGCCACCCACACCTTTGCTCATACAGTATCGGTAAAGACATTACTGATTCTGAATTTGGGCAATGCACAAAGCAACTGTAGTACAGTGATATGGATTCTCAGTTTGTTTATTTAGTACAGACAAATCCAACAGAAAACTGTATCAAACAATACTCAGACGCACTCTTGAGTCAAAAGCGATCATGTTGTAACTGCCTGTCTTGTGTGGGTTTGGGTCTATACGTTTTAGGGAGGGGCCGGGTCACTTTGAGTAATATAGGTGGCCTTTCTGGGGTGGGGAAAACTGCACTTGAAACGTTACTTCCCTCTGATGGCTTTGTGGAAGATGTGTTTTACCCTGTCTTTTCGCAAATTGAGACCAACTTGACCCTGCTCTTAAGCCAGGCCAAGAGTAGCTCCACACTACTCACTCTGAGTTTGGAAACGCACAAACTGAGCAGAGCTTGTCTCTGTCTGGCTCATGTGAAAACACCTCATTGTCAAACCCAAAGCACAAATGTCTGGCTGTGTGAAATCATACATAAATAAAAATAATCAAATGCATTCCACACATTATCCCATCGTTTTGTAATTGGGGTTAGGAGTAGTTTTGGAAATCACAACATTGTATTCTTTCCTTTGACGCTCAATGCTGTGGTGTACCTTTAAGGCTTTCCAAGACGCTTTTGTAAACCATCCCTTTTATAGATAGATTATGCATTTCGTTCTGTCCATTTTGGTACTTCTCGCTGCATACCCACCTCTAGCAGTGGATCTCATACGCCACCTGCGATCCAAACAGCAGGCTCTGACTAAGGAACAGCTCCTCTGGGTCTGTGGTTAAGGGTCCTTCTCCGCCATCACCCGGGTTTCTCCTCAGCCCCATGCCTCCAGACCTGCTAAGCGTCTGAACCACCTCGTGATCCAGCAGCACCTCTTTTATGCCTTTCTGCTGGACAAACCCACTCACCATGTGACACTTCGACTGCCCCGTCCCTTGACTTGACTTTGAACGGTTGAAAACGTACATCTCGTGTCCGTCATCATCGCGATATTCCTCCAACTGTGCAAAGCTGGAAGGACCTTCTGAATAATCGTGCATGTACAGGATTCCTTCCTCTTTGCCTGAGCAACAACTCGCACCTTCTTCTTTGCGGAACTGCTGATGGCGACTGTAAATCATGATCAGAAGGAGAACCGCGGTGAGAGCCAGTAAGGAGATACCAACAGCTATGGCCGTTTGCGTCGCTGGGCCTAATGCGTTAAAGTCCATGCTGTCCTGTTCATAAAGAGGCTCCTGGCTGATGTCCAAAACTTCAGGCTGGAAAAATGAATTTGAGGAAGATGAAATAAACGCATTTGTATTAATACGTGGCCAAAACTGCGAGGAATACGAGGAAGATGACATGTTGACAGCCAGATGAAAGGTAACTTTAGCCATGCCACCGGGATTCCAAGCTTCACATTCATACCGACCTGCATGAGCCACTGTGACATTGCTAAGAAACAGCATTCCGCTCCCAGTATCAGGGTCGAAACTGTCTCTTTCTCCGCCTTCTTCAGTGCCACGTATAAGCTGAACACTACTAACTTTGACTTTACTGCTACTGGGTAAAGCGGTCACAACTCCACCAGTCCCGGGTTTGAAGAAGTCTCCGTTTGGTCCGATTTCCTGGACAAGACCTCGTGGTGACAACTGCGCCTTACCGTGGGATGCTTTCTTCCAGGTAACTAGCGGTTGGGGGTATCCGGAAGCTTGGCAGGACACACGGAGACTCTCCCCCAGGCGGACGGTCAGGTGGCTGGGCTCGAGTTGGACCACAGGGGGTATGCAGACAAGGCTGTTGGGGGCGACTTCCACTAGACTGAGGTGGGAAAGGCGCGGCGGCTCTGAGCACATGAGGCGACGCTGTTCGGCCGAGCTGAGCAGCCGCTGGCCGTCTTCGCTGATCCAAGTGCGTAGCCATCCCAGCGCACAGTCACAGCGCCATGGGTTCTCTGAAATCACAGAGAAAAAGAAAGGGTTTACACAATAATCACTTCAAAATATGTCTCTTGGTGTGAACAGGAGAAGTATCTTGCAAACCAGCAATTTGTTCATCAATACAGCAGCATGGGCGCAGGTATTAACAGTGAAGTTCAGAAAGTGCAACACTGTTGGTAATAATTACGATTTCACACAAGCTTTAATCTAATGCGTTTAACGACACAGTATGCATCTGTTAAGCTAAAGATAAAGAAGAAAATAGGAGTTTGTTTCTTTTTGCACGTTTGATGCTATTTTGGAACTGAAAAGCGAATAAGAACATATGTCATAGCTGTTTGTGGGCTTGCATTGGCACAACTGACTGCTCATCAAGTTTCTAGAAGTCATGATCCTCAAAAGAGTTGAGAAAAATCCAAATAGTTTGAAGACACAAGGGCTATCTAGCTACCTATCCACAGCACAGCTACCACAATTACTTTCTCACCAGAAAGCTGGTCAGAATTAATAAATATGTTTTGTGTTGTCTTAGTATTCTTGTACTTTTCCATTTTCCATGAGGAGGTCCTCTGTTACCTGTAACACGGAGCACCTGAAGGCTGACTAGAGGAGTGAGGGAGGAGGAGCCCAGTGTACGGAGATGATTTCTGCTGAGGTCCAGAAGAGCCAGGGACGACAGACCCATGAGGGCCCGCTCTGCCAGCAGCTCTATGCTGTTCTCTTGCAGGTGAAGCTCCTGCAAACGCTGCACAGACAGAAGAACAATGCAAAAGGCTGAACTAAAAATAATCTACACTTACATTTCACATTCTGTGAAGTCACACACTTTTAGCAATCAGGATCAAAACGAGATAATCAAAACATTCAGAGGTCACAAATAAAATAAAACCAAAACGACAATGAAATTAGGATTCAAGTCAGTATAGTTCCTCAGTTAAACTATAAACAAGTCTTCACACATAACAGTTCTTCCTATGTGTGAATGTGTCAAAACTTGGTATTGTACAAAATAACAGTGGGATATGAACATTTCCTACAGCCTGAATACCGCTATACAATCTCTGTTCTTTTCTGTTCTTCAGTGATCAAAGCTGTGTACTGTTGGTAAGAAGCAATTTAATGTACCTCTTTAAATCTTTGGCTTTGTACAGTATAAGCAGAAAACTCTGTTGCACCTGTTTCTGTTCAACCATTTCATCATAAGCAACTCTTTTTACAGTAAATTAGCTTTGCACAGCCCCCCCATGCCCTCACCTGCAGACCCCTGAAGGTGTAGTCTTGCACTCGGGTGATCTGGTTCCCAGCGAGGTAAAGGATCCTGAGGTGCTCCAAACCGCGGAACATATCAGGGCTGACCAGGTGGATGAGGTTGCCATTCAGGGCCAATTCCAACAGCTGTCCCAGGCTGGAGAAGGCCCCAGGCTCCAGTGCAGAGATACTGTTGTTCTGGAGATAGAGGTAATGCAGCTGGCCCAGACGGGACATGTCCTGCAGCCGAATCTGTGTTATCGCGTTGTCTTGAAGGAAAATAGTCTTTGAAGAGGACAGGAGGAGATTGCGTCAGTCATTTGAGATAAACTAAAGTGTGCCAGAGCTTAGTGTTTCAATGTGTATTGACTTTATGACAAAAGTCAAGGCCAGATAACACACCGCTTCGGCTGCTACACATTTGTATTCAACACGGCTTTAGGGCTTTGATCAAATGTAGCTTTGTTCATTACTTGTAAATGGGCTTTATGATCTGACAACAGCATTTGGTTTGACTTAAATTGCACCTTAAAACAATGTTGGAGGACAATCCTTTTTTGAGGGGATTTCAGTGTTTTTCAAGAGGCGTTACACCTCTGTGTCTTGCGGTGATTGCCTTTCCTTTTGATAATGATTCATTGTGTCATGTTTTGGAAGAAAAAAAATCACAAATTGACACCTTGTATAGTGAGTGTGCGCTGAGCTTTGCAATTGTGATATTATTGGAGGAGACAATGCAAGCTGTGCAGTGCTATTGCTCTTTTGTCTCACACTTTTGTCTGCCCTGACAAATACTGCAGAGACAACAGACCTGCCATGAATGCTCTGCACCTGCTCTACAATGAAACCTTGTCGGCTTGGCTGCTAATGTTTCTAATGTTCGCAATGAAGCACGGCCTGGCTGTGAGGTATAAGGCATGATGATGGGCCATATACACCTGCTGATTGAGGTTAATGGAAGAATTTATGCATGACATAATTTTCATTAATATTTATAAGTAGCAATAATGTCCGGGGCCTGAACTTGTGGAAGCAAAAAAAAAGACACGAGTGTAATGTCGAACATCTTCTCCATAGATGATCACAGGGGCAGAGTGAGAGTCCTATTTGGAGGGAGAATGAATAATTACACAGCCAGTCGAGCGGCCCTCCTTCCAGTGCACATCAAAGAGGGTCATGGAGGATTGATTAACCACAATCATTTCAGGCTAATAAGAATGGGTCAGAAAGGAAATAACGTCATGGACACTGGGTATGCCTGTTCAGAGGAAGCAATGTCCATTGTACTTTTAATACCTGTATTTATTTGTGTATATGGCTGGAAGTGTCAAGGGTACTCTACCTTTTGGCAATATACGTACAACATGATAGACTGTATATAGATGGACAATTACCTGAAAGAACCTTGAGCCCGTGTACTAAACAAAGTGAAGTAAGTTTTGATGATATTACAGTGAAACATAAGTCCAATGTTTGTTAATATCAGAAGTTAGCATTATTTTAATTACCACATAAGGGAGATGCTAGTACCTGATGCGGCTGTTTTTCTCTGCTTCCTTCAATGTTTTGAGGATCATTCCACTTCTTGTGTTTGTTCTTCCATGAAACATGGTTGTTAAAAAAAATAATCTAAACTTACTAATACGTCCTAATTTCAGATGAAACATTGTGCATGGGTTTTGTCATGACTTCTATTCATATTTATGCATGGAGCTGAGCCGTTCAATCCAGCCCATGACTTTATTCCAAAATGTGTGTTTTTTTAATTTAATTTTATATTACTTATTTTTGCACTTTATTATTATTATCATCCTTATTTTCTCTGTTATTTTCCTGTTTTGACATTTTTTGTGATTTTTTTCTTAAATAATGATAATCAATTACTCTTCAGCCATGTTCCAGCATCTTCCCTCAGGCACTAAATGATTTTGGTTTAGTATTGAAACTGTTTCAGTTGATCGATTTCACAGTGTCATTTGTTTCCTGTTTGTTTTATTTCTGTATTTTTAACCTTGTTTTATTTATATACTTGTCTGGTGCACACTGGGGTCTTTTCCAGATGAATTCTAATGTGGTTTTACTGCAAATGGCAATTAAATGAATCTGAATCTGATTTAATTTTCTCTTTGGGGGTTTGGCCCCAGAGGAGACTGTCTGGTAAAAACTCTGGCCTTCTGACAAATATAGTTGATGACCCTGGTCTAGGCCTGGGGGATTTCATCTCATAATCTCTCCTTCTGTACTCATCATGCAGAGCTCTGACGGGGTCTAAGCACCAAATCTTAACCACATTTCTCGTTCAGTATGCAATAAATGTCATTTTGCATTATGGTCTTTTGAGTCATATGTACTACTTTATGCAGTGTCAGTTAAATGCCAGCAAATTCACAGATCAAATAAAACCTCTGTTTAGTCTGTTTGAGTCTTTCTAGATTGAGTTGGCAAACACTATGGGTGACGTCAGTTTCGGGTTAGTCCTCTCCTGATGCACGTTCGGCCTATTGTGACAAGTCAGATCTGTTGAGAGTCTGTGTCAATGCTTATTTTACGTATCCACAAAAAAGTAACATAATCTCAATCAATGGTGGATATTGCAGCAGACAATTTGTAGAATTGCCAACCCCACATTTTTAAGTCACCATAAAAAAGAAGGCAGTCCGTCTGTTCCGTCTCATCATAATACCACACAGCATGTGTTTTGTGTGCGACATTGAACATGTCACATTTACTATTACAGCAGTTTGCCATGTGAGATGGTGATTATATCAACAACAGTAGATACAGTAGTCAGACTTGTCTGACGAAGGGCCTCAGCCCGAAACGTTACTATTTTGTGTGGTATGTAAATAAATTACACTGTTTTTGGGAGCTACATAGCTGTGCGGATTATTTTTCACTGTTTTCTACGTCTTGCATTTTTTAATCCAGCACGCCAGCTCAGATTACAGGGATGTGCGGCCTTATTTGACATTTTCTTATATCAACAACAGTACCTAAAGACCATCAAATAATCATCATGGATGTTTTTGCAAGGCATAAGTCATTGGTAATTAGTGTTATATGACTGAGTGTGTCAGTTCAACAGATTGCATTGAATACGGGCACAATTTGTTTTTAATTATTAAATAATCAAATCATTAGACATAGTGATTTATAATTACCTTTAGAGCTACGTTTCTTTGAAAACAGCAGCTGCTCTGCGAACAACAGACTCAAATGGGTCTCTCATTCTGAGCCAATAAGTAAATGTTCTAAATGTTTATTTCCATACTATTTTCACTTTCACAAAGGGAAAGTAGCCCTTTATTGGCCCTACAATGATGTTCAGTTATTATCATTAACCAACAAGATTGCTAGAAGTTTATACTGTATGTGCTACCATGGTATTTTAACGTTTTAACCTTATTTTCTTTTTGCGCTTTGGGTTAGAGCACAGGTGTCAAAGTCAAGGCCCGGGGGCCAGATCCGGCCCGCGAGACCATTTCCAGTGGCCCCTGAGATGATTTTAAATTATTATATCAAATAGCAGCATAGATGGTTTTGAGGGACAATGGCATGTTCTCCATTACTAATTTTTATAAGAAAACAACCATAAAATGTAATTCCATAAGAAATGTTAAGCTAACATGCAATTAGAAATAGTATTTTTATGTTTTTTTACGAGTCTTCATTTACATTTCTTCTTAAAGATATGAAGAGGATTTCACAATTTTCTTAGGAAAGAACCGCCCTCTCCACTTTTTGAACAAAACTCTGTGGTCTTATTGGACGAGCACAAATCACCAGAATGATTGACAGTTGGGAGGACCAATAGTCTCAATGATCCACACAGAAGTAGACAATCTTCCTCTAAACCTTCAATATTTGGTCCAGATTTGGTCCAGTCACAGGAACTGAACTTATTATAATCAGAAAAGAAAATCCAATCTAACTAATGTGAAACAAGTCATTTATATAAATACCTTCATATTATAAAAAAGTATAATAAATGAAACCCACTTCTTCTTTTGGCCTCTGACCAGCCCTTTCATTTTTATATGGCCCTCTACCAAAATAAGTTTGACACTCCTGGGTTTTTTTTTTCACTCTAACCCAAAGCGCAATTAGAAATTGTAACTAAAAATATTCTAAAAATACAAATCATTTGGCCAATAATCCTGATTTTACATTTGGTCCAATGTTGATTAAACCCAAACATAAGTTAATGTTGTTCTTTAGTTAAAATACCTTATAAATTATTTTTTTTATTTTATTTTTTAAAAGCACAATCTCAGGATAACAGCAGATCTCAGGATAACAGCAGATCTCAGGATAACAGCTGAGTCTAAACAACACAGAAGTTTGCTGCCCCTGTGTTGGAGGGAATTTGAGCAGAAGAATAGGATGGTGGTTTCCTCATCTCGTGTCATGGGGTGCTGATGATCAATTGTTCGGTATCATTCTGGTCTCATTCTGTCAAAATGTGCGCAGCATGATAAGAACTGTTTAAATACCTCGTCCAAATCAAACACCTCCTGTGATTCATTTCTTTAAACCAAGCTCCCTGTTAGAGGTCAGCAGGTTGTGTAAAAAGTTCCGAAACATTGAAGTGTTGGAGTTCTTTGAAACGTTATGATAAGGTCACATAAGTAAGTAAACCTGTGAACGTTTGAGTCCATCTCACGATTCAACTTGGGAGCCAAAAATCCCTTTTGTGAGAAGAGTAACTTCAAATGACAGTGAATAATGTGGGATTGACCCAGATCCCTCAGTGCTCGATACAATTTAAATAAGAAGAAAATGAAATGTGCTTAACCCTGTTCAATTGACTATTTGATGTGTTATTATGATATGCATTCATTTATATTATTATGTGTCAAAAAAAATGGTGAAATACAGTAAAAAAGCATTGACCTTGAAATCATCTTCATCATCACGTATCTACATTTTAAAAGCATTTCATTTTGTAACGTTTTAGTTGTTTTTTGTTTTGTATTAGTTTTTAGTTTAGGTTTATTTATTTATTTATTTTAAACAAAACTTCTGCTAATATTCCCATCTCAGTTGTTTGGGGTGACAGAGCATATTTGGATTGATCAACAATGATTAAAACATCCACATTTTAAAGTTAAGCACTTTCTACCAGTCATTTTCTCAATTAAAGCTGGGGTATCTAATTTTTTTGCTTCTATATGATAGATGTTGTTTGTTCCAACAGATATAAAAATTGACAAACAAAATGTTATATAAGAAATTAGTGACGTCTTCATCATTTTAGTAAACATTTTATCTTTTGCATAGTTGGAATACGCTTTTGATCTAAGAGCTGATTGGCTGAGTGAGGGTGGTCCTTGCTTTTATACTTTTCTATCTGAAAAAAAGCTGATCTAAAGATGTGACAAAGGCCAAAAAACAACTAGGGATAGAACAAGACCGTTTACCGGACAAAGAACTTGTAAATTACATCAGTCCATGTTATGTGGTTTGACATTTAGGTACCCTAGCTTTACTAATAAGCACAAATCCACAGTTGGAGAATGACATTTGCCTCTAAGGCTCTGAAACATCCATGGCCTGTGCTCTACTGACCTCGGTGACTGTGGGGACGCCTTGTGGGATTTCTTTGATCCCGATGGACCCACATTCTACCGTGAGACTATAGCAACGACAGCCAGACGGACAGCTCAGCCCTGGTCTGAGGAGACAGGCCCCTCCAACCACCAGCAGCACGGCCATCACGCGGGGGGACATGGCGCTATCTTCCTCCTCCGCAGTTTTTCACAACCTGATGAGGGAAAAGCAGAAGAAAGCATGAATCCCTTGGAGTATTTGTGCCACGGTAACAAGCTGTTTTTCTTATGGAAATGCCTCCGCCGCCCGCCTCAAAGACTGACAAGCGCTGCAGATGTTTTGTCCATTGGCGGGTGTCTGGGAAATGACAACGGAAGATTGATAAAAGAGCAGAGAAAAAATAGCAAAACCTTGAGACACACAGGACTATCTCATGCCTCATTCCCAGCTGTTTTCAATTCAAGCGTCTGCTCCGAGTGCAATTGCGGAAGCTTCTATTATGGGCTTCAATTAATTAAAGATGTGATAAAAGATGTGCCGGTTGCCTCAAGGACCTTTCTCTTGTCAGTTTAATGCATGCACAAACACACACACAAGCCTCTCCTCCTTCTCATTCTTCTCCTGCCTTTGTTTCCGGACACTCACTTGCACACGCACGCACATTTCCATCACTTGTGGGGGCATGACACACTTACATTTATTTCCGGAAGACATAACCCAGACCTAACCTTCTCAACAAGTCTCACGCTTGTTAAGAAGATTGTTGAAAATGTCAGACCCAGGACAAAATGGGATTCATGCTAGACTTGACATAACATGGAAATAAAAGACAGCTCAAATGCACATCCCAGTAATAGGCCCAACATAGAACAGAGGGATATTGATAATGAGCTGTTTGTTTATGTTCTTGTTGTTTTATTTTTTTGACTGAATGTTGAGTGTATCGCTGCATAGATTAAATCTTGCAAAAGATGTGGTGTGGTGCTTTGATTATTTCAATGTGGAATCCTGGTAAGTTTTGCATATTTACAGACTTTCAGAAAGATTTAGAGATTTGCAGGGATTTTTTCAACACTGCAAGTTTAATTAACAGAGAAAATATTGACAGACAGCTTGTTAGTGCTCAACAGTTATATCATATCAGCTCTGATAATAATACAAACACATATCCTTAAAACAGTAGGCTTGTTGTTACTCAATTAGTTTATTCTATATTTTATAAAACCTATACAGTCCTACATGTCTCCATTTAACACGGGGAAAGTGAAAATTGTACATCCAATTGTTTACTCACATGAAGTCTTTCTGGGAAAAAATAAATAGAAGTATGTGGAATAATTTCCACTGATGGCAAAACATTAGATCAACCACAAAATTATTGATTTATGTCTGTGCTCTCCTTTCTTCATTTACTCTTTTCAAGCTCAGACAAATTAAATCCAGAAGAGGTTTATTTGAATTTCAGCAAAATGTAAAATGTTCACACAGGAAATCAAATCAATCACATTTTTTGTACATATATGTATATACTGTATATATATATATTTATATATATTATAATCTTACAAACCACATCCTGTAACATAGAAGTAATGACTTATTAGATCCTGAAACCTCCTTTCAATTGCAATTGTACAAACACAGCGTCACTGGTGGCTGGTTGCTAGTTTTAATCTCAAGACACATTGGCTTGTTCGATGAAGCCAGAATATTTTCTTTGTTTGATATCAAGTCATCACAGATTCAGTCATGTGTTAGCGAACAGCCTGTAGGGATTCAATGTTCTGCTTGACTGTTCTCACCCGGAAAGCCACTTGTTCAATAAGCCATCAGTGTTGTTTATTAGGGAACAGATATTGGATTTTGGAAATAATACGTGTTGGGATGTCAGGCTGAGCCATGAGCTGTGTCTTGCCTATACATTATTCCCGGTGAAGTCTTCACGTGGCAGAAAAAGGAGAGCATACGCTGCATTGATCCAATTTCTGGAACCACATTGTGATGAAACATTCATGTGTGCCCTGCCTGTGGATCCTATTAAGCATGTCGAGAATTCTTTTGTTGAATTGTCTTTATTTCTTCTTTCTCAGGAAAAAGCAGGCATCCAAGACATAGAGTCACATGGAGCATGAAGAAACCAAATGGTATCAGAAGAAACGTCTCTCGTTTACACGTTGGGTCGACTACAAAGCAGTGCCTTTTACTAACTCTACTCGGTATTTACATAAAAAAACAGACTTAGTATAATGGGGAAAAGGACCAAAGGCTTACGGTTAAAGTTGCACGAGGGAACAAATAATACAGGTTCTGTTAGGGGCCATTAAGATGTCTTATTGTTCCTTGTCGCCTTTGTAAAGATCAACTCTATTATTCTCTCGCAGTGGTCCCTTTAATTAAACATTGAAGAACAGTTTATTTGGTTTCGAATGACTAAGAAACAGAATTGAGAGAGATATTTACAATTCCATTTATTGGTAGACCTTTTAGCGCCTCAACAGCGTGCACTTACAGCAGCTTAGCGTTCCAAGTAAATCATAAACAAACAAAAATGAAGTGGTGTGCTAAAAAGAGCAGTACTGCACAGCGCGCCTGTTCCCCTGGAGGCATAATGTGTTGATAACTGTTTTGCACACATCTCAAATAGAATAAGTAAGACATCCAAACAGGCCTCATACAATGTCTGCTTCTGCCCTGTGTTTCAATGACATACACACATCTAGAGACCTGCCCTGATCCTCCTGCTTATTAATTACTCCAAAATGCACACACGTTGTATTTCTGCCTGGTGACAAATAGATGCTGCCCTGAAAATAAACCGCAGCTCATGAATGTGCATGACTCCTGTGTGTCAGATTGATATCGTACATTTATCATTTGTAGATGTATAATCCCAGAGCTGTAATTTCATGCCTAAGTGCAAAACTGCAGTACGACAACCACAGTTCACTGTCAAGGGAGTTATTTCCAATACATTATTTAAAAATGGGAAATGAGCTATCTTAAAAATTGCAAGTTAGATTGGGTGCATTTAAGGGGCAGAACGGCTAACTAGATTACTACAGTGTGACCCACATAAACCGCTCAATTGCCTTCTAATACCAAAAAAGAAAAAAAAATCTTGCTTCAATTATCAGAGGCCTACCATTTCCTCTTCAGAGCTGACCAAACAAGCAAGGAAAGGAAATTAATTATAATTCTATTGTGGGCAAATGAAAGCACAGAAATTGAATTCTAAATACAGCCTGGGTCTGTCTTTGAGCTTTTGTTATAGCTGAGAGAAACGGCTGTAGAGCTGGACCAGTGGGAGGCGGGATGAAGGCACTTGAGCCTGGGGCTGAGAACACGCACACAGCATAGGTGTAGTTAGCACCACATGCAGACTCCTCTGTGCTCATAAGCATCTCTAATGTGTTGCACTTATTAAGGCTCCTCGGGGCCAGAGGGGGGACTTTTGGATTTTAAATTGGAGACGCATCTTGGGATTTATCCACAAGAAGTCAGGTTTTATATAACACAATTATTCTGTTGTGTTGTATATTTTTTTGTCCAGGAAAAAGTGTGTGTAAAAGGCACTCTTTAAGGCTTGTTGCCTGAGTAATAACAATACAACAACAGAGATTTTAATATGTAGATTTAACATGTGTTATTGCCATGAATCAGCCAATGAAAATATCAAATAGTGTCATTAATCAGGTGCTGCGCAGGCTTTTTGGGTTCTTTTGACATTTATTAATGCAAATGTACTGCAACACTGCCCCAGATGTTAGAAATGTACTGACACAAGAAAAAGTTTTGGGCCGTCTTGCACAAGCCGTTGGCAGAGATACTTCTGACTTGTCTGAGCGGCTAAAGTTTAATCAATTCATACATCATTATATGCATTTGTTATGTTACAGACCATAAGGCAAAGAAAAGCATTTCCTGAGAGGCAAATCTCAGTTGGACTCAGGTACTTTGCGTTTTGAAAGATTGTGTCACTTTACCAAAAAGCTGCCAGACATATGGCAGCACAATTACAGATTAACAGACCCGCTCAGTGTTTGCGATGCCAAGTAATATAGCTTCAATTTGAGTTTATTTACAAGCTTACAGAATCAACGGCCATGCTCAATACAAATTATTCATACACAGTAACAAAAGATTCTTTGAACAATGATTCCTCACAAAAGGTTTACAGAGAAACAATATCCAGAAGCCCTCTCCAAAAGTCGCTGCGGTGACAACAGCATCAAAAATGTTTAAATATGTGAAAACACTGCTGGACATTTTGACAGGTTGTCAATGGGTGAGGTCAAAGAAAACTTCAGCGAGAGACTCCCTGTCAGCATCCGTCCCTAAGTCCCTCACCTCCTACTGCCTTCAAAAAGACCATCATTTAAACATAGCTGTAGAATTTTGAATGCATGTAGGCTGTAGATGATCCAACTCAAATAGATCTAATAATATAGTGAAACCATAATAACATAAAATAATATCCCAGGCATCCTCCCAGCAGCATTGAGGAATGTGTTATAGATATATGGTTAGATAGAATAGCAATTTATCATACAGGAGCTTTGTTGAATGATAATTTGTTGCAGTATATACAAGAGTGGCAGATTGGAAACGACTCTAAACAAGGCTTGCTTTAACCACTACGATAACATCAGGTATAAATGAGTTTTCCTTTAAAATGCTGCTCTTCAGACTTAGATTGTTTGCAATAGACTCCAGCTCGTCCTTTGTCATGCTGACGCTGGATTTCAGCCGCAAGAGGTCAATTTGTTCATTTCAGCTGCCGTAATCCTCAGTGGAACATGCGTAATCTACACAATCAGATGCTTGTTAGCTAAGCCGCTCATGGCGCTCCAGACGTTCCACAAAGAGGAGGGGCGTGCTTTATTCCATATGAAAAATGAGGTCAGCGATACAATATATTTCTATTGATTGTGTGGAAATAGGATGATTAGGGCTTATAATTTTGTGGATATATTGAGGGCTCGGGGACTTAGCCCGGACCAGTGCGGCTCACGTCAGTCAACAAATGCCAAAGGGAATCCTAATAATTGCAGATCACACGACGGCACGGAATGCATACAGAGGAGGGACCCATTTGAAGGCTAAGCAATATCTAAGCCACTCCACAAAGCATGCTAAGCCCTCTGCCTATGCGCTGTTATTGTTTATTTGGGCAGTTTGGA